GGTTTGTGGTTTAGGGTTTAGGGATCCTGACCTCTAAAGCCTGAACCCACACCCCAAACCAACAAAGTTAGAGCATAGAGCCCTTCAAACACCCTAAATCCTAAACCCTTTTCCTGAAGCCTGCTGTAGGCGCCTTGTTTTGGGGCCCCTGATACCACAATTATAATAAGGACCCCCCCCCCCCCCAAAGTAGTATAGGGGTAATTATTTAGGCCCCTACTTTAAGGTCAACTCAAAACTCCAAACCGGAGGTGTGAAAAGCTGGAGGCACTTCATAGAAGCTTCATCCTTGATCCTGACACCCGCAGGCCCTTAGGGTTTAGGGGTTTAGGGGTTTAGAGGTTTAGGGGTTTGGGGTTAGGGTTTAGGGCTATTGGTGCTCTTTTTCAAGGGGTATGGGCTGTAAGGGGTTGGAGTTTAGGGCTTCGGGCTTAAGGGCCTGTGCACAACATATATCAAACTTGCCTTTATAAGGCCATAGTAACTAGGGCCATGAGGGAAAAAACGAATTATGCGAAATAGCAGACTAGCTTAGGGTCAATGCTTAGAGGTTCAGGGTTTTGGGGTTTGGATTTGCGATTCACGTTTTCGGGTTGAAACAGGGTTACAGCTCCTCAGAAACCGTACTCTAGACCCGTGTAGAACACCAGTCTTGAACCCTTCTACATACCTTGAGAAAGCCCGTAGAAAAGCCTGATACACGCCTTATAAACACCTTTGTACAGCCCAGATAAAATCCTTATAGAATCCACTGTGAAAAGCCAAAAAACTCTCTGCACTGAATTTTGCCACCCCGGGAAACTCGGTCGGCCGGCCACCGGCGAGTGAACTGCAGATTCTCCAAGTTCTGCAGGCGCGTTGCAGGAGGACTTGTCTTGAGGGTAAGTGCACTATACGGGTCTGGATCTGAAACTGAAACTTCACAAATAAAACCTCCGTATAAATATAACGTTCTTCGTTTACAGCCATACAAACTCTTCTCAAACATCAATCCCAGTTTGTCTCATCCCATTCTTTTTGCGAAGTGTTTTCTGGCCACATCTATGTGTAACCCTAAACCCTAAATCTCGACCCTCAGGGTCAGTACCGCTGACTTCCCTTGCTATTGGCCATCCCATTCTTTCCGCGCGTTTCCTTCAGGAGCCGTACTCCTCCTTGATGTTGCTGTCGGTGTAGGGTTTAGGTTTTAGGGTTTAGGGTTTAGGGACGCCACTTCCCGGTATCCGTGGACCTGTTGCTGATGCCGCCGCCCCAGACCTAGTAAGCATTCCTATCTCCTCTCGCACTGGCAGTGCCCCAGAGCCGCACGCCATACCGGCGATCGATCTTCCAAGCCACCATTTGGATTAGAGGTTTGCCTTTATATACCTTCTTCCATATTCAAACCATGATGCTATATCCTAAAGCTTCAGAACTCTTACCTGCATGCTAAGCCGAGGAACTAAAGACGCGAACAAGCATGAACCCCTGAACTTACACGACAAACTCCGAACACTTGATGTTGAACGCGAAAAAGACTTGAGCCCCAAGCACCGAAATTCTTACACGATACCGAAGCACAGGTAGTTGGAAAAGGTATCGGGTCTCCTTTAGTATTGCTGTTTTGTAGAAGATGTTATTCCTAATATTTCCTAATTGTTCAGCCCTTTATCTTGTTCATTCAAGTCTATCAGTTTATCAGGTATTGCCTATAACCGCCATAAGATGCCGGGGTAACCGCGTTAGAGTGATCCAAGAAAGCTCTGATAACATGCACCCAACGACGACCCTGCAAAATAGCCCACCTTGCTCTATCCGTATAATACTGGGATGAACGCCAAACCGAAGACCTTACAACCGAAACCCCACAGTTTAAACTCGAAACCACGAACCTCCAAACCCCCAGGTCTGCACACTGAGTCCTTAAAACTCCCATAATACGATGCCCTTCACTTTACTGACTCGTCGGGTATCATGGAGAACTAAAGGTTTACCTTTTGGGTTTATATAGGGGTTACANNAAAGGTTACCTACTCTACAACTAGGCTTTAAGGACCACATAGAAACCCACATAAAGGACGCCCCGCCTGGCGGCGCATGCGCCGCAGTGGCAAACGGCAGAGGTACGAGCATAGCCTCGCACAGACCAAGCTGGGTTGTTTCAGGAACTTAGTAGCAGTTACCTACTGGCTAAAACCTATACCCTCAAACTCTCCATAATAGTGGCATGCAGTGTACATGCAATACGATGACTCAGATTCTAGTTTGCTGAAAGCCAAAACCTATAACATCCTTACAAGCCCGTGTACTTGCTCCTGATGATATCTTCAGTTGGGCGCTTCCAGGGTCGGTCAAGTCGGTCAAGTGAAGCTTGAGTCACAATGCAGAGGATCGGAATACCAAGGGCTCTTCTACTGCGGATCCCACTTTCCAGATTCCAGGGTCTATCAAAGGGTCCCCATTTCTTTGAGCGTTTAGGGCTGATGGGTTCTATAGTTCTAGCCGATCAACGTTGCGCTTAGCATCTAAAACCTTAGGGCCTTCGGCTTAGGCGAGCTCTGGGAAATATGTTCGACGCCGGGTCCCAGGGCCTCATATGCGAGGTACACTCCGCAGACGCATGATAGCATCCACAATGCGACAGCACTGAAGAGCATCAATAAAGTCATGTTCAACATGAGAAGAAGAGGAGAAGTGAGAGTCATCGTTGACATCATCATGACCGCCAACACCGTCATCAGCATCATCACCTTCGTAAACACAGCGGCGCTGCCACCATCCTCCCAACATGACCATCATCGCCGTCGCCCTCTAGCTCTTCTTACTGCAGCAATGTCTTCCATCTTCATAAGCCTTAATTCTGATACCTTGAAAAGAGTATAAAATACATGTCACAGCTTTCAGGTACATAAAACACAGATCCACAAGCCAAACTAAATCCCTGAGAGTCCTGGGAAAAAACGGCAACCAGCAAAGCCCAAAACTTAAACCCCGAAGCCTAAACTCCGAAAATCATGAAACCCTGCACAGGTACTCCTTACTTCGGCCCAACACCCTTAGGCCAAAACCCCACGCCCAGGGACACCCCCACAACCCTGTAATCACCCTGTACCTCCTCGTCGTCACGTGCGGAGCTCATTGAGGTCGGTGAAGGCCTATATTTCTGGGGAGTTAGGCCTCTAAAACTCGCGGTTTTACGTTATGTTGTCGCAGAATCTACCACACCGGAACCAATAGCCATGTTCATGTTTCATGTATGGCATGGTTTGGAGTGGGGGACTTTGGATTTAGGGTTAGGACCCTCGAGGGTCTAGGGTTGAAGAGTCATTGCAGCGCTTGCGGTTTGATGTGCTTATTGGCTGAGGCATACTGTAAAAGGGATGAACAAGTAAGGTCAAGAAGTAATCTTTCAACACAAACTCAACTTGGCCTTTGCAGCACTTAGATTGCGGATGACTCTGCTGGCCTAATCCTCCTGAGTGTCATTCTCAAGCTCAAATACGCCCTAACACCTAAATCCTACAAACAACTAAGCCCTAAACTAAACCCTATACCCTATAAACCCTAAGCCCTAGACCTGAAGCCCTATAAACCACATAAAAGCCTAAAGCCCTAAACTAAACCCTAAACCCTAAACCCAAAGCGCTTAACCTCGAAGCCTAAGCCCACACAGTTCGAGCGCTGGAACCCGGGAGCTTCAAGATTGACAGCAGGTAATGTAGAGGCCTTATAAATAGTTAGAATAGGGTTTAGGGTTTAGGGTTTAGGGTTTAGGGTTTAGGGTTTAGGGTAGAGGCCTTATAAATAACTAGAATAGGGTTTAGGGTTTAGGGTTTAGGGTTTAGGGTAGAGGCCTTATAAATAGTTAGAATAGGGTTTAGGGTTTAGGGTTTAGGGTTTAGGGTAGAGGCCTTATAAATAATTAGAATAGGGTTTAGGGTTTAGGGTTTAGGGGCCTAAATAAGTAGAATAGGGTTTTGGGGCTCCTTTAAAGGGTTCCATAAAGGGTTCTATATGGACTACTATAAGGGTTTGAGTGTAGGGGCCTTGATAATTAGAATAGGGTTTTGGTGCCCTTTATACTATAATTATAGAAAGGAGCCCCGCAGATTGTATAGGTCATTATTAAGGCCCGTATAGTACGGCAACCCTGGTTTGCGTCTTGCCAAGGTTGATGCAAGCAGGCGGCTTAGGGTTCAAGGTTTAGGGTTTAGGGTTTGGGGTGTAGGGCTTAGGGTTTAGGGTTTAGGGTTTAGGGTCAGGGAATATCAGAAGATAAGCTGGCGAAGATCAGATAGTATACTGTAGTATCACACATATAATATGACGCAGCATGTGCAATAAGTCACTGAAACCTAGGTCAATATGCAAGGGAACTCATTGGCCAACTAACGTGTTCCCGCCCTCAAATCGTCTTTCAACAGCCCTGGAACAACGAGCAAAGGCTACACTGCTCGGTGACCGAAAGCTTGGGCGACAGAAAGATAGTACTGCACACTGCACCACCCCTCTGATGACTACGAACCCTGGTCGGCTTTTAGCGAGATTGCCAGCCTTTCATCTGGCAATCATAGCTCATCCATATGAAGAACCCGATCCTTTAGGTGCCAATTTCAAAGCAGTGGAAACCCCTTCCAAAGGAACCGGCCAGTAGCAGCTCTATAACAGCCTGATCAGCCCATGGTGCAAGGTTTCATGTTGAGGCATGGGATCCCTGGCTCCAGGTTGAGGTTTCAAGGACTGGTTTCGGGTTTTGCGGGTTTGAAAGACTTGTTGAATCTATAAAACCACATCTCAGACCCTGCACTATAAGCCATTGAGCCCCAAGACCCCGAAACCCCCAAACCTCAAAAGCTAATGTAGGGCTCCTTAATAATTAGAATCGGATTTTTATGCCCATTCTACTAAAATTATAATAAGGAACCCTCCCAAAAATAATATAGGCAATTTATTCAAACACTAATACCCTAAACCCTAAACCCCCTAGACCCTCATTTCGTGGTAACCACCTCGCTGTCGGGACCGGCAAGTCGGCCGGAGATGACCTGACAGGGCAGCCGACTGGTTGAGGGTTTAGGGTTTAGGGTTTGGGGTTTGGGGCTTAGGGTTTAGGGTTTGGGGTTTGGGGCTTCTGGGCCCTAAACCCTAAACCCTCTGAGAGTTCAGGAAACCCTAAACCCTCAACCGTTCAAGAGATCAGGAAACTCTAATACCCTCTTAGAGTTCAGGATTGCGGGGTTTAGGACCCAGGGTTGAGGGTTCGGGCTTAAGGAGCCTTATGGGGGTTTTAGGGTTTAGGGTTTAGGGGTGCTTCGCCTTACTTTTTTTGGGGCTTCCATTGCGGAATTGTAGGACCTAAATTTGTTTGAAACGTGCGTTACAAGGGCCTGGGGCAATCAACACATGCTAGGCACAGGGTGGATGTGGAGCATTCATGACCACGAAAAGCTGATACGGTCAAGAATTGAGGCTCCGTAAATGCTAAAGCCCCCAAAAGAAATATGGTAAGGCCCCTAAACCCAAAACCCAAACCGCTTAAGGTGCTAAACCGTCTTGCGTTGACGGGTGATCCGGTGTTGCCAAGCTGCACATATCCTAGCCAAGGCCTACTAGGTGTAAAGTCGGTTTAGGGCTTGGGGTAGAAGCGAAGCAGGCTACAGCATGCTGTTGTCAAAACCAACCCACCGCCTGAACGTTAAACCCCTCAAAAGAAGACTACTCCAAGCTGCTTGAACAAGCCAACACAAACAGGCAGACAGAAACTCTCAGTTTAGTGTCCAGGCTTTTCGGAGGCCGTCATCTTCTCGACTCGGATAAACCTGAGAACCAAAGTCCCTAGCAGCCTAAAACCCTGAGCCTGGAACCTCCAAAATTGTCAACCGAAAAACCAGGTCTACATATTCCGCAAACCATACCTGAACCCTAAACCCATAACTTCGGCAATTATCAAACACAGGATCAAAGCCCAACGGTAGGCCTCTGAAGCCACAAGTGTACTGTTAGGGGCTAGGTCAATGACGCTCCAGGGTTTAGGATCTGGGTACCCCGCTACTTTGAAATACATGAAGCGCGCAAGCAAATCAGCAATTTTTCAGCCGTAAAGCCTGGGTATAGGCATAACACCCATCTTGGAGCACGTGCAGTGGACAAACCCCAAAACCCTAAAGCCCTAGAAGGCGTAAAACCCCTAAACGGCCTAAACCCTAAACCCCTAAACCCCTAATCCCCTCAAGCCCAAACACCCCCCTAAACCCTAAACCCTAAACCCCTAATCCCCAAAAGCCCAAACACCCCAGATCCCCACATCCCAATTTCAGGGCCCCGGCAAAACGACCTCCCGTGCCGGACGGGCCACAGCCGTAAGGGTTCTGGTGTGGACCTGGAGGGTTTCAGGGTTTAAGGGTTCAGAGTTGAGGGTTTAAGGGCTGAAGGGTTTAAGGGTTTAGGGCTTAAGGGTTTAAGGGTTTAAGGGTTTAAGGGTTTAAGGGTTTAGGGCTTAAGGCTTCAAGGGTGTAGGGTTCAGGGGTTTAAGGGTTTAAGGGTTTAGGGTTTAAGGGTTTAGGGTTTAGCACGTAGCGTTTAGGGTTTGCCTTCCATGTCTGAGGGCGTCGAGGTTAGGGTCTTGGGGTCAGAGCTTGGGCCGGGGGAGGCTGTGTGTGGACGGGGAGGTGGCTTAGGGCTGGGGCTCGAGCGGGTCATGTGAGGGGTTTAGGGTTTAGGGTATAGGGTTCTGGGTTGTATCGTAAGTTGAGTTCCGTTTCCCTGGATCGTTGCAATGGCGCCTCTGTCGTTCAGATGTGAGTATATGGAATAGTTTTGCTAATTACCGGTATCCTCTGTTCATCAACAGTGTTCCTTAGGGTTCCGCAATACATATATACATATATACATATACACATATATATATATATATAGTATACTATGCCCCCAAGATCAGGTGACTAGACAGAGTCTGCAAGTACGTCTCTCCAAAGCCCTTCTAAACACTAAAGACCCTGCGCATGGAAGTGTACCATGAAACCCTAAACCCTAAACTCTCAAACCCTAACCCTAAACCCTAAACCCTAAACCCTAAACCCTAAACCTGAAACCCTAAACCCTAAACTCTCAAACCCTAACCCTAAACCCTAAACTCTCAAATCCGTACAAGGTCGACGTCGTATGAGTTTTTACCTTCACGCCTGAGACACCCAGAAGCACGACAAGATCCCAACCTCGGCCGTCAAGGGCGCGGTGATCGTCTCACCTGGCATTTGATTTCTTTCCTTTTTGTTTCGCGATTTGGAACTACTTCGGGTTTCTGGGACTAGGGTGGTATGCCAGACCCGAAGCATTATCGGCAAAGGAACCTAACTTGCCATTGTAGGGGTTCGACAAGGCGGGTTCCATGTCTTTGGATCCTTTCACAGCGTCTGAGTGCTCGGGGAATGTCAGCAAGGCTCCTTGTTAGGTTGTAAAATGAACGCACCGGCCACTGAGGCCTAAATGCTAAAGCTTCTCTTTCTCCCGGCTACGTACCCCAGATCCCAAACAACACCACGGCAACCGCCCCGAACTTGATGTGTGCGATTACAAGACCCTGAAGTCCTAAACCCTTGCAACCCTGACGGAACCCTTAAGCCTACCAAAAACCCAATCCTTCTGACCAGGCGACCTTCATCCTCGCAGGGTGTCGTCGGGGACGGCACGTCAGTCGGCACGGGCATCTCCGTCGGAGAGTGCTCCAGCCCTGGGTACAGAGGTAAAAAATTCTTAGGTCGTAGAACTCTTCACAGGCTGCAGAAGGGGTTGATATCGCCGTTAAGCATATATGGATTCGCTTGAGAAGCCGATTCCAAGAGAACAGCCTTCTAGGTGTATTACGCCCCCTCAACCATCCTGAACACCCGAAGCCCGACACTTTCACGGAAAATCCAACATGAGACCCAGTGAAATATCTCAACGGTTAAATCCACAATCCGCTAAAGCCACAGGGACGACCCCTAAGCCTTCACATCCGAGACACCACCTCATAGGGCATGTAAGTTACCATCAGAAGTGACCAAATTACCCAACAATAGAAATCAAATCCGTCTCAGTAACCCTAAACCGTCAACTCTAAACTCGGCAACCCTCTGAGATGCAAAGTTCGAGCTCGGCCCCATGCCGGATGCAGCCCCAGAGCTCGCCAGGGCCTCAGCATAGTGCTGGTGATATCACGGTCCCTTTAAGGTTCCTTAAAACGTTCGAAAAGGTTTCCCGGAATCGGCTACACCTTCAGGGAACTTAGTAAGGAAGGTCCTCTGCCCCCCAGCCTCGTGTTCCCAAATGTAACCTAAGACCAGATCAAACCGTTTTCAACAACATGTATAATATGTTTATACCTATAACTGTATACAATACGAACAAGCAAATAAACACAAACACAAGCACACACACACACACAGACACACATGCACACATGCATGCATGCATACATGCA